GGTCCAGAGCAGAATTGTGGTCACTGCTTTTGGGCCCGGATGATTTCTGGGTGACCTTCATCTTTCCTTCTTCTTCTTCTTCTTCTTTTTTTTAATCTGATTTATTTCTGAGAGATAGAGAGAGAGCAAGCATGCACAAGCAGAAGGAAGAATAGAGGACCAACTAATTGACACACAAGGGTTCAAACTTGACATGATAACCATCTCAAGAATACCTCCATTTTTTAAAAAGTGTAGAAGAACAATATATAATCTAAACAAATACGTCTCTGCAGACTGAGGAGGGCCACGGGGGACTCCTTAACCACTCACCCCGGGGGCCAGTAGTAATCTCAGCTGGAACTTCTCTAGGCTGGCTGTCTGGTGTGCGTAAACGATATTCGTAATCAGAGTGCCGGGTCCTCAAAGCTGGGTCACGATCCTATTCACTGACGGTACAGATGCAACAGTGGACATTCACTCATTTATTCAAGAAAGAATTGTTGAGCTACTAGGTCTCAGGCAGTTCGAGAAGGCAAGAGATGAGCGAATCAAATACCATCCTGGCCTTTGTGGAGCTTCCCATCTAGTAGGGGGGATACTTATTAATCAGATAATCATATATATTCTCTCTCTAAATACACATTCCCTCTCTCTAAATACACATTTTACAAGCTGTCGTAAGTGCTTAAGAAAGGAGAAGTATCGGGGTTATAAAGGCATAGAACAGGGGAGCCTGGGGCCCTCTCAGTCCGGGAGTTTGGGAAAAGCTTCTGAAAATGAGGACATGTCCTTCCCTCTCCCCAGCCTTTTGGGTAGGAGGGCTAGGAAATCTGGATTGCCCTACTGCAGCTGGGCAGTGAAAATGAGTCATTCCAAGAATTGTCCACCAAATAGCCACTTTTCTCACTAGTAGAGCCAAAAGCCCATAAGATTGCATTCTTGCTTTCCTGTTTCTTTCACGGCCCCTAGGAAATTGGCTGAACCAAGATGTACTTCAGCTGGGAGAGACTATGGATGGAATGCCGTCAGTTTGTGAGCACTAGGAGAACACAGCCCGTTCTCTGTGCCCGTGACTGAGCAGCCAGGGCTGGCCTTGTCCTGCAGCACAGAGCCTCTCAACCTGTGTGCTATGAGTACCCCTCCCCTCTCGAGATGGTAATTGGGTGGCCAGAGCCCCAAGACCAGATGTCTTCTATTTACTTCAGCATGCTGTACAAATACTATCCTTCATGTTTTCCAAGACAAACATTGGACATTACTGCCTAGCAGATTCCTGGATGTGCCTTCTTCCTCCAAAACCTCTTACGGTTTAGCATTCCTAGCTGTGGAGACATCTGATGGGATTTTCCTGTTTCCCCAGCCTGCACAGACGTCTTCCAAGGACAGCTCTCTGGTGTGGATTGCTGTGAATGAAGACGGTGTCAGCATCCTGGATCACAGCACTATGGTAGGAAAGAATGAGGGCTGGCTGTCTGACCCTTCCTTCTCCTGAACAGCACTTTTTCTTCTCCTCTGTGGACTCAAAGAGCTGAGCTAAGTGACCATGGTTTCCCAACCCACCCTACCCAAGCCTTGCTTTCCTCTAGGCTAGACACAGCTTATAGACATTCAAGATGTAGATCTCCAAGTTAGGACCACTTCCAAGTTCTCCCTTTCTGGTTAAGGCTACTTATGCTTGGAATAGACAGGGGGTGCTGGTTCATCTCCGGAGGCAGGTGGGAAGTTTCCCCAGAACTGACTGGCTTCTTCTCACAGCAAGTGCACGTCACTTACCCCTACTCTTCAGTAATGACCTTCGGTGGCTGCCGGGATGACTTCATGCTTGTGATTAGATCCATTCCAGACCAGAGCTCTGGAAAAGGCCACATTGAGAAGTTGCTCTTCCGGATGGCCGCTCCCAAGGTGGGTCTGACAGCTGTTAAAACAGGATACTCGGATCTCTCTAGAATGAGGAGGTGGGCTTGAAGTTAAGGAAGCTGGGTTATGACGGCCTCTATGAGGGCCCTCCCCCAGGTAAAACTCTGGTCTTAGCTGTAATCAGTCCTCCGAAGGGTTCGGGTAGGGCTGCAGCTCCGAGTCCCTGCCAAGCTGGTGGGTGCGGGGCTGGCTGAGAGGGCTCGCACTCTGGTCCAGCAGCTCCCCTGCCCTCCACGTGGTACTTTCAGCCCCCGCAGCCCAGCACTGCACAGGCTGGAGGCGGGTGCCCACTCGCTGCTCTTGCAGCAGACCGGGGGCCAGGGCAGCCAGCTGCCTCCCGTGTGCGCTCTTCTGCTGGCTTCTGCCAACACTAGTCCCCAGGTGGGACAGTCTGCACATGCTCCCCCTTCCTTACGGTCTTAAAGTCCATCCCAGAGACCACTTCTGCTTTAAGGGCTTTGTATCCTGCTTGGTGCGGGAGATACAGACTAGCAAAAATAACAAAGACTCCAAAACCCAAGTTCTGATTTATAGTTTCGGACTTCCTTCTGAGGGTAAGTGGAAACCCTGTTGTTTTAATCCTAAAATTGGAGTTTCCCCAACCTCCTCCTTTTAATGCTGCCCCTGCCAAAGGAGAGGATACACAGACACTTCCTCCAGGGAGGCCCGCTTCCCTGGCTTGGAGGTGAACAGAGCAGAGTATCGCCTCTCCTGTTCTCAGGAGGGTACTCTGCATCAGTGGCCCTTCAGACCAACAGGCACCCACTTCACTGGGCCTCTGAACCTCCCAGAAATGATCCCCTTTCAACATTTTCTCCCAGGTATTTTTAAGAGATAAGAAACTGAAGCCCAGGAAGGTTATGCACCCAGTATAGCAGCAGTATGTGAGAAAGACGGCATGTAAGCCGGCAGGTTGAATTCCTTTGTTTCTGTTGTCTCAAGATTGCAGAGGCTACGTTCATCATGGCCAGCTACATGAACTATTGCTCCGTGACTGTGAACCCCACAACAACCCACCCGCTGCCCGCCAGCTAGGGGAACCGGACGGACAGCAGTTCTTTGCTTCTGTTCCGCGTGCTGCCAGAGGGCCAACGTTGCTGTGAATGCTTCTCCTACCCCTTTCCCCCCAAACCACCTGGTACCTCTGGGATTAGAGATCTGTATCCTAGGGTATGATACTGCTGTGATGGGCCGGACAGCCCTCCCCCAACCCCGCCCTGTTTGTTCTATGAAATGTCTAGTTCAGTGTCCCTGAAGCCTTTACTCTGTAGGTGCCTTATGTTTCAGGGCCCAACTTTTAAAAATCCAGACCAGTATAGAAACCACTTTTTTTCACCAGAATACTGAGCTCTGGATGCTGCCCGATTCTAGACACAGACTGGGATGGTCCACTGTTACTGGTTACTGAGGGCATCAGTGCTGTAAATCAAGGCTTTCTGCATGGATACTCTTGGGAAGGCCAGTATCTTTTATACTGTACATGGTCCTTATGTGGGGATTTATACTTGAAGTTTTCCCAACATCCCCAAACAAGACAGGACTAAAATTTCCAATTCACCTGAACTGTGACAAAAGCCCAGAACTCATTAAAACTGGACTGCCGTTCCCAGATGGGAAAGGTATTGGCAGGGCTGAAGAAAAAGGAAGACTCACCTTTTCCCTTCCCCACTGTAAGAGAGCAGGCATTTGCAGTGCCCTCTGGGGCAGCAGCTCCTGTCTTTGCAGGACAAGGAAAGGCACTATCCCTGCTGAGATTGAAGCTATTCTCCCTCACACTGGACTGTCAGCCCAACTGGGTACAAGCAAGGGCAGGGGGTAAGTCCAACATGACCTCTCCCTGTCTCATTTTAACCACTAGCTAGGGCTCAGTGAAGGCTGTGCTTCCTACTGTAGGATGGGGTGGTCGTCACTAGTTTCCTTGTTCTTTGAAAGACCAAACAAATGCACCGGTTTTTGCTGCTTTGTGAGGCCACCAAAGAGGAGTCAGAAACAGAATCCAGGCTTGTGGGCCTGGATTTACTCAAGACTTCCGGCGAACTTCCGCTGGGAATTAGTTCGAGGGCAAAAGGCATGTAGGCTAAGAGCATCCTGATGATACAAATACCCCCTAACCCCAACGGAGACCTTATGTTGAGTGCAGAGATGATCCCTGTCTCCACCCTCCCCTGAGAGAAAACAAAAAGATGAAAGAGTTCATTCATACTCTGATTTTCCAGCATTGGAGAAACTTGAGTTTTATTTCATAGCTCTAAGGCAGTCTGAGCATTTGTCAATAAAGTGCTGAAAACTGTATGGGTTTAGCAGTAGCATCTAAGAACCAAGCCTTTGACTTCAGCGAAGTGTGTGTGCGTGTGTGTGTGTGTGTTGCACACTGTAAGAACTTCAAGGCTGGAACTGGTTATCTGAACACCTCAGCTGCTGTAGGCTTCCCCTCTCTCACCCTTTAAACATAAAGCAGCACATGATAGTGTCTGCCTCTTTTAAGTGAACTTGACTTTGCAAGACTGGAAATTTTATAGCCATCTCTCATTTCTATTGCTGCCTTTCCCCCAGGATTTAGGAACTAGATGAGACATTTCTACCTCAAACAAGTCACACGTCATATGTACCACAGGCTCCAAACAACCCCTCCTATACTGGTGTAAAATTACGGCTCTAGTTTATAATACCCTGAGTGTCTCCAGGCCCATGAGGATAATGTTATCCACCTGGGAGTTTAAAGAAAAAAAAAAAAATTAGGATTCTAAGGAAAAAGCAAGCAAGGATGGAGCTGTGTTCACACTTAACTTGGGGGTCAAGCTATTTCCCCCACCCTATCTCCTTCCCAGCCCTTCAGGAATCCTCCCATAGTTTATTAATTCTACACAGAAGAAACTGCCTTATAATCAAAAGCTTCTACAGTTGGTGTGTTTATCCTTTTTTAACATGTGTGGAAACCAAAGTCGAACTTCTGTCCAGCCTTTGGTGTCACCCCTCTTGGCAAAAGATGTTTTCAAAACCCTAGACAATGCTGACTAACAGCAGAGTATTAATGTGCTTGACATCCATGACTGCAATGCTGTGTTCATGTTGTCAATAAAAAGCAGCTGTGAACCAGGCAATTACTGTGTATGTTTTGGAAGGGGATCGATTTATTAAGACAGTCATCATAAATTAACCCTGTACAGAACACGGAAGGTAGGTGCACAGAGACTGGTCTTTCGTAGGACATTTCTTCCTAGTCACCAGTACCTGAAGGGCTTGACTTTTGCACAGAGGTACTGTGTAGTAGGAAATTATGTTTCTTAAGAAATCTGCTGTCAGTGTCCCATGTCTGCGCCACAAACTCTACAAAATGTAAACCTGCATGTGCTTAGGAATTTCACAAAGTGCTCTTTGTCAACGTTACTTTTGACATACCACTGCTTAAGGTCTCCCCTCAAACGATAAAGTAGGTAGAACCTTACAAGGGGATCACTAAAACAGACAAATACTTTGCTCCACATCACACAATGAGTAAGGTTTCCAGTCACCTGCTCTGTGGCTCTGAGCTCCACTGCATCCATCCTGGTTCTTAGAGCTGTGTCCACCAGATGGTTTAGGATACAGAAAATAAACCAGCCATTATGGCTTAGGAGTCCTCTCCCATGGAAGACAATACTGGCCTTCTGAAATGCTGGGACTCATGGACTTGCTGATGCAGCTTTCTGGTGTGCCAGGATCTCCTGGCAACTCCTGTACACTTCAATCAAGCAGTCCAGGCGGGGCTTGGCACTCTGAATTCCAAAGGGAAGAAACGCAGAGTCAAGATGAACAAAAGAGAGAGCTTAGCCGTGCAGCAGCCATGTGCAACCACAAGCTCTCCCCACAGCAGCGGTCTAAACAGCTCAGGTGTGAGCTCGGAGAGGCAGGAGTTTGGGCCACACAGCATCTAACTGGCTAAGGAAGCAAGAGGATAACAGATGACAGACCCTCAGAAATGTCACAAGCTGTGAGAGCCTTCAAGGACAAGAAGGGCAATTTAATATATAAATATTAAAAAGTATTATGTACAATGAAATGTGATACAACCAAAATTAAAAGTCACAGAATGGGAAAAATATATGTGGAAAGCATATTTAATAAAAGTTCATTATCTAAAATATGTAAGTTGTTACAAATGTATAATCAGTATCTAGACTTGACTAATAGAAGAGATGGATAGTTTAAAACAAGAGGAAAAACAGCTAATTCAAGGAAAGATAAATCTCTTTGTCATTTAAGAAGAGATTTAAGAAACTTTAAATTCCCTTACCTACATACTAAAGGAAACAAATAATTAAACCCGCTGTTAGCCAAGACTGTAGAAAAACAAGTACAGATTCCCAAAAATATGGTAAAGTTGTCCAATCTCTGGACCCAAATCTCAAACTGTAAAAATCTATGAAACTGTTCATAAGCTTTAATAAAATAATTTTGAGGGCACCTGGTTGGCTCAGTTGGCTGAGTGACTGCCTTCGGCTCGAGTCATGATCCCGGACTTCCAGGATCAAGTCCCACACTGGGCTCCTAGCTCCTTAGGGAGTCTGCTTCTCCCTCTGACCTTCTCCTCTCTCACGCTCTCTCTCACTCATTCTCTCTCAAATAAATAAGATCTTTAAAAAATAATAATAATAAAATAATTTTGAACTGTAATGCAAAAGAATTTTAGCTTAGTGGTCTTAAATCCAAAGTGAGAAAAGGAAGGGCAATAAGGAAAAGTTAACTATATACATAAATAGTCTACATACCTATAATCCTGTTTGTGTATTTCGTGTAAAAGCAAGGCAAAAAATAACCTGGAGATGATTTCAAAAGCTAGCAGTAGAGTGGCTAAATAAACTGATACTCAACATGATAATAAAACTATTTAAAATAATAATTATAATGGATTCTGTTGATGCATGAAAATATGTACATTAGATTTAAAAAGCAAGACATAAATTAGGTAACAGTATGTGCAGATCAATGGACATCAATGTATAAAATCATATATTGGCAGACTAACAAAATAGATGAATGGTGATTTACAGGCAGAAATTGCTATTTTTTTCTTTAAAATTTGGATAAATTTGTAATATTTCTGAAAGCCTGTATTTGATTCAGAAAGAAACTTTTGAAATAACTAAAATCCTAACTTTGATTAAAAATAGCTGTCAGGGGGCACCTGGGTGGCTCAGTCGGTTAAAGCCTCTGCCTTTGGCTCAGGTCATATCCCAGGGTTCTGGGATTGAGCCCCGCATCGGGCTCTCTGCTCAGCAGGGAGCCTGCTTCCCCTTCTCTCTCTGCCTACTTGTGATCTCTGTCTGTCAAATAAATAAATAAAATCTGAAAAAAAAAAAAAAATAGCTGTCAGATGTCCTCAAATACTCTTGGCAACTAGAGTTTACACTCCTACTGAGTATAAGTAGCAGTGGATATGCAGAAAACGGGGAAAGGTAAATTTTTCTGAAGAAACTTTAGACAACTGTTCTGTGCTCACCTGGAAGACAGGTACTACTTGGGATATCCCATGTGGTTCCACTGGATCCTTCAATAAAATGCAGAGGTAGTAAATCACCTTCTGCTGTAAGACAATAAACCAAACAGCAGAGATCTAAGTGAAACTCACTTTGTTTTCTTTTTCTTCAAGGGAAGGCTAAAAGCTTTTTCTAAGCAGTTATCTCTATTAGAACACTTGATTGCTTTTGAAGTGAAGAAAAAAATATATTCTCATTCTCTAACATCAGCAGCAACAACAATAAGAGGTGCTATTTTGATGGGTGCCTGGGTGGCTCAGTGGGTTGAAGCCTCTGCCTTCAGCTCGGGTCACGATCCCAGAGTCTTGGGATCGAGTCCCGTATCAGGTTCTCTGCTCAGCAGGTAGCCTGCTTCTCCGTCTCTCTCTGCCTGCCTCTCTGCCTACTTGTGATCTCCGTCTGTCAAATAAATAAATAAAATCTTTAAAAAAAAAAAAAAAGGTGATTTTGAAGCTGGGCTAAAAAAGTTGAAATGCTGACTTACTTTCTACGAAAACCTGCTATATCTCTGTAACAATAAAGGAATGAACCTTTCCGATGTAAGTTTCACTTTCATGGTTCATGGACATGCCAGCCAAAAAGGAAACACTATAATCCCAGAACCGAGTCTTCAAGTTTAATTCTTTGACATCAAGGTATTAAGACTCGTTTTAGACTCCAGCAACGGCCATGGGCTACCTCCTCCAGAGAAATCTGTAATACTTACAACTTAACTACTTACCATGTAAATAGCCTCATTGATGACCACATCCTTCACCTTGCCCATCTCTATGAAGGTAGTGCTTTCTTTGCCAGAGGCATAGGATGAAGTCATCTGGATGCCAAGGGAATCAATGATTAACAGAGTCTCCTGATCAATCTTGACAAAATGGAGATAACCAAGCAGCCCTAGGAGGGTGATGAAGATGGCAGCAGAGAGGATCATGCTGTTCTGAAGAGAGAGCCAGACACAGGCGGTAAGATTACCAAATGGTCCTCCACACAGATCTCTGCTGTTTAACTGGTCCACTCCACGCAATGTGGAAAAAAGCCTGTGTTCTATGGTGAGTTGAAAAGATGGAAGGAACATGCATGGAGGAAGAGAAAATCACTTATTTTAGCTCTGCAGTGCTATGAAAGCATATGATGAAGTACATCCAGACAACAAATGGATAGGTGTAGGAGGAGAACCTCGATCACCAAAATAGTACCCACCATCACACCACTCTCAGAGGTTCTTCTTTCAAAACCGAAAATTAAGGACTCAGACCTTTTCCTCTCATGCTCCATCAGTGGAATATACAGTGCAAAAATCAGACAATACAATAATAAAATGCTTTAGCACAGTGTAGCAGACAGTACTCAACAGCCACTCCTCCTTCCTAACTGAACTTGGAATCATGATTGGTTCCCACTCCTGCCAATGACTGGTTTAGAAATGGACAAATGACACAACTCTGGCCAACACAAGGGGAGGTCTGCCGAAGGGGCCTCTGGAAAATGAAGCCCATCTTAAAAAGAGATCTAAGGAAGAAAAGGTCACTTCCTCTTGAGGTTTGATGCCTGAAACTACTATGAAACTACTACTACTCTGCCAGGCCATGTAGAAAGCCAGATTGAGGATGAGAACAACAGTGGAAGAGCAGTAAGATGAAAATAATTAAAAGGCCTTTAAGAGCCTCTTATGCCCTCAAGAGCCCTCTTTCCTCCTAATTCCTTTGTTTAATAATAAAGATCACATCATCTGGAGCTCTTCTAGTTCTTTTGGGTAGTGACTAACTGATGTGGTAAGCCTGACTGAGTAGCTGAAATGACTAACTTACGTGTTAAAGGCTCAAAAAAGGGTATTTATTCCTTTGATTCTAAGACACATTTACAATCTTTCAACATTTCTGAAATTGAATGTGTTTTTCTATTGATGTACATTTTTTGTGCCATTATTTTCTTTTTTTTTTTTTCCAAAAAAGCTATTATTTAGAAGGATGGCACAGAGAAAAAAAATCACTGATGACCTAGAAACAAAACAGATTCAGTACTTTATGAATATCATTCCTCGATGGCAGAAGTATCTCTATACTTTATTACTGGTAAGATGCTCTCTCTGACCTAACCCTAATCACACTCTTCTAAACCCTCATCCTTGGGTGTCCATCCTTGTTAGGCCTGCATTGCTCAGCAAGCTGTACCAAGAATCTTGCTAAGTCGGTTTAGAGAGAATCTTTGGCCTCTGATCATTCTGGCCTGCCTTTAGCAAGAATCATGTCAAGTCAAGTTAGCCAGAATCCCCCTTTATCCCTGAGGTTTCTTTTCTGTCATTTTCCATCCACCCCCCCACCCACTGTGCTCCTTGGCTATCAATTCCCACTTGTCCTTTCTGTACTCAGAATTGAGCCCAATTCTGCACTGAGGTCACTCTTTCTCCTATTGCAATAGTTTCTGAATAAAATCTGTTTTTGCTGCTTTAACTATTGACTGCCTTTGGTTTTCCTTGAAAATACTTTTCTACTTCATTCCACCTAAAACACAGTAAGTATTCGATCAAGAGTCTGTTTGGGCCTGATCTATTTTTGTCTGGTCCACCCTGAGCTTGGAATGGTTTCACCAATTTTTAAATGGTTTAAAAAAGAAAGGAAAAGAAACAGAAGACTGAGACAGAGACCTGTAAAGCCTCAAATATTTACTATTTGGCCTTTTAAAGATAAAGTTTGCTGACCTCTGTGCTAGGTAATTACTTGTTGATTAATGAATGGAGAATGGAAAAATCTATGTGCTCGGTCTCTGATGATCCAGAAATATCTACTTTGAGTTAATTAAATGCCTAGTATCTAGTACAGTGTCTGGTTCATAGTCTGAACTCAATAAGCCTTATGGAAGAATAGAGAGAAATAAAATTCAGTCCTGGCCCTTACAGATGTGTAAGAGACAAAATTAATACACATAAGATATTTTTGGAGAATACTACAAAACTGGGTATAACTACCTAAGAAAGGATTAAAAGAGAGAGAGAGCAAGAAAGATATCAAAGCACACAGGATATCCCATGAAGACTTCCAAGGAAGAAGGATTTTCACTGGTACAGAAGAGGTAGTGGTTATTGACAGATACACTTAATTGAGAAAAGGAAGAGGGAAAAGCATTCCAGATTGGAATAAATAAGGTAATAACCTGCAATTTTTTTTAAAGATTTTATTTATTTATTTCTCAGAGTGAGCACAGAAAGACAGAGTGGCAAGCAGAGGCAAAGGGAGAAGCAGGCTCCCTGCTAAGCAAGGAGCCCGATGTGGGACTCGATCCCAGGACGGGGGGATCATGATCTGAGCCGAAGGCAGCCACTCAACGAACTGAGCCACCCAGGTGTCCCATAACCTGCAATTTTAATAGAACTGTGAATTTAAAAACCAGTTTGATTTGAAGCCCATGTATGCTATTTACGAGCTTTGTGACTTTGGGTTTTCTTCTAAGAAATGAGACATTCAGGAAAGCAGCTGGCAGTCAGGGGGCATTTAAGTAATTATACGTTCCCTCCTCCTCACATGACCACGTGACCAGAACACAGGCTAGTATTAAAATTCAACTACATTATAAATTAAATCTTTTTAGGGGGAGGGAGAAGGACTGTCTTGGCAACTTAACTACTTCAACTGACTTTTGAACAAACTTTTAGATATAGTTTGGTACAAATTAGAGCAGTCTTAATTCTGCATATTATCTACATCAAATTACCATGCTCTGATCGTAAAAAAGCCAATGAAAACAAGATCCAAATTATAAATAGCCATAGCTCTGGTCAGATCACTCCTAGGATAGTATGTTCAATTCAGGGCATACATACAAAACTAAACTCATTCTGAAAAGGACAATTAGGATGACTCCTTTTATTTGAGGGCTGTCACAAAGCTACTGCACGTGACCCTCACAACACTGTGAAGCTGGCATGGAAGAGAGCAATTCCATTTTAGACATGTGAAAACCGAGGCTCAGAAAATAGGAAGGAGGGGTGCTGGGTGGCTCAGTGGGTTAAGCCTCTGCCTTCCGCTCAGGTTGTGATCTCAGGGTCCTGGGATCAGCTCCACATGGCATCTGGCTCTCTGCTTGGCGGGGAGCCTGCTTCCCCCCCTCTCTCTTTGCCTGCTGCTCTGCCTACTTGTGATCTGTCAAATAAATAAAATCTTTTTTAAAAAAGTAGGAATGAGTCTAGCAAGAACATAGAAACAACTCATCTCCAAAACTTCACAATTCTTTAGAAAGTACTTAAAAGTTGGGGAAGGGGTGGGGGGGAGTAGATTACCTTGAAAAACAGATTAGGAAGAACTATCAAGCTCATATTGTGGAGACAAAGGCAGTTCTTGAACACTACAGGGGCGCCTGGGTGGCTCAGTGGGTTTAAAGCCTCTGCCTTGGGCTCAGGTCATGGTCTCAGGGTCCTCGGATTGAGCCCCGCATCAGGCTCTCTGCTCAGCGGGGAGCCTGCTTCCCTCTCTCTCTGTCTGCCTCTCTGCCTACTTGTGATCTCTGTCTGTCGAATAAATAAATAAAATCTTAAAAAAAAAAAAAAAGACTACATACGGTGCTGCTAGCAGTGACTCCTCTGAGGAGTGGAAGTGATGGATAAGGACGATCCACTTAATAGTTCTCGGAACTCCTGGAACTGAATTACCGTGGGCGTGTACTATGTGGAGCACATGCACGTTAAAGCCTTAGGTCGTTGTGCAAGGACTAACTAAATGTACGCTGGGTGGAACCGCAGCGCACCACCCACAAGACCCACAAGAGGGAGAGTACAGGTGTAAAAACTTGACTAAACGTGAAGAAAACAACTGTCCAGCGGCGGAACCAGCTAGTTCCCGCCCTCCGACCCAATAACAGGAGGTCTGGGCTCGACCCGATGACCCCAAAGACCCTTCCAAACCCCAGCACCCGACTCCGACCGCGGAAAGGGGCCGACCGGCCATTACCTCGCAGAGGGTGAAGAGTCCGTAGGCCGCTAGCCACACGGTGCAGGTGACAGCGGTGAGCGAGAGCAACGACAGTCGAGGGCAGCTGAGGCAGAACTCCCGGCAGGACGGGGAGTAGTAGCGGCGCTGCAGGGCCAAGCGACCGCCGCAAATATCCGAGAAGCTCTGCTCGTCCTCCATGGCCCGATCTCCCCCTTCCCACCCGACCGCGCGGCTCTAGTCCACCCGCCTGCTCCCTCTCGCCCGTCAGGACCCACTTCCGGGGAGCGACGTCAGACCCGCCCCTCCCCGCCCCACGCTCCGCGCAGCCGCAGCTCCGCACCGAGACCCGAGGCGCGGGTGCGCTGGCGTGTGTTTCGCGTTCCCCGGCTGTGCTGTGTTTCTGCGACTGTCTACTCCGGAGACTCGCGGGGGTGCTGACCCAACCGGCCGATTAAAACCGCTGTTAACGCGCTTTCGCTCTGCAAACCGTTTTCTATTTCTCAGCCAGAGTACGCCCCAGGGAGACAGTCCGCAGGTATAGACTCACTCCAGGCTCCCGCTCACTCACGCATTCGTGCGTGCACGCGTGCATTCCTGAGCCAGGCGGTTTTAAGTGCTGAGGATACAGCGCTGACCAGTGCGGAAAGTCTCTACCTTTAAGCAGCGTCCTTCCTAGTAGAAGAAACAATATGGAAGTAATTTCAGAGAGTGCTGCTGGCGATAACAGGAGGGGCAGGGGTGGCTTGGGGACTTGCGATAGGGCAGTCAGGGAAGTCTGAGGACACTGCACCTGCACGGACGAGGAGCCAGACTGGTCTGGGAGAGCTCTGCAGGAGGAATTTGCCGGGTTGGAGGGCCAGGAAAGGCAAAGCCCCCGAGGCTGGAACAAGGTTGACTTCCTGGAGGAATAAAGTGGCTGACGAAAACTGAATGTGGAAGTTGGGAAGGTAGTTGCAGGGCTCAGATCCTAGAAGGTCTTGGGCCTGGTAAGAAGTTTGGATTTCAGTGGCTGGGAGTTCTCTCTTCCCAGTCGCTGCTTGGAGCAATGAGGTAGATGAGTCCTGGCTAGGAGGTTAGCAAGAGAGGAAGATGCACAGGATGTGGATAATAAAATTACTAAGCTCATGAGTAATAGCGGCCTGTGGGTTCTTCTTTATTTCTTTTTCTTTGGATGTGGCTTGTGGCCCGTTAGAGTTACGGCGCTTCAGACCCGAGGCAGCATCTTGTATGAAAGAATTGGTCCCTCTGTTTATACAGATAAGTGGCGTAACGGTCTTAGCAGCTTTAAGTCTCTCTGATGAGTCAGGTTCCATTTTTCCATCTTCATGCCGGATTTTGTTTCCTTTTTTCCCCCCAAAGGATATTCTTCAAGTGTTACTTTGTTTTTCCAATTTTATTTCTATACCCTTAATCTTACCAAGCAATAGTGTAAATAACATTTGATGTCTTAAAATTATAAAAGTGATGTTTGCTTATTGTGGAAAATTTGAAAAATACAGAAAAGAAGAAAAAGCCACCCATATTTCCACCACTCAGAGAAACACTGTTGATGTTCTGAAGAAATCTCCAGTCCCAGAGCTCTTAACCTGAACTCCATGGATAAAATCAGAAATTTATCTTTAGTTTCATTATCTCTTAATTAAAATTTAACCTTTTTTTTTTGGTTATGAATGCGGGCAACAAACCAATTAGTACTAGCAATACTTGTTACTCTGATAGAAAACGCAAATATTTTCATTTCACAATAATTGTTATCTCCAAATGTCATTTCCACTCATCACTACTTCAAAATTGCAGTAATTATTAGACCCACTTTTATATCTTACTAATCTGTCAATAGAGACACATACAACACATACTAAAGATATTTTGATAACTATTTTAATTCAGAGGTTTTTAAAATCCTATGTATTGTATTCATTTTAAGACATTATGGTGATAAAGGTTACCAGATTTACAGAGGGTCTGTGACACAAAAAAGGTTAAGAACCTGAGCAAGTTCAGAAGGCTCACAACTATAGATCATAGAGAGAGGAAAAGGCACTTAATGTACTTATTTTTTTGAATATTAATGATTCAGGGTACATAGTGTGGTAATATAATTCCAAAATCCTTATAGCTCCTTTGTTCTTTCAGATCACAGTGTCATCTTAACTCTGTTCTGCAGTTTGAGACCTCAGTAGAAATTGAATTTCTATGTATTTGCCGTTTAGCTAGATGCCATCCATGAAGTGATAAGTTCTCATGAATATGACCAAATAAAAAGGGCAAGGAGGGAGGGGTCCCTGGCTGGCTCAATTGGAAGAATATGTGACTCTTGATCTCAGGGGTGTGAGTTCAAGCCCCATATTTGGTGTAGAGATTACTAAAAGAAAATAAATAAGCTTTAAAATAAAAACAGCAAGGAGTGGTTGTTTTAGTTCTAAATGTTGGATTTCAAAGTATTGATAAGCCTCAGAAGTTCAGTAGAATATATCAGCAAAGAAGGACAGCTGATGAAAAGAGCTTAGACTTACCAATTAGCAAGTTTCTCCAAGAAAGTTTATTATCTTTTTGCAGGGTCACAACCAATACCCAAGTGAATTCCATTGTGGAGAAGCAGGGAAAGGAAGCTCGAGAAACATGTGTACTCTGTATTTATCAAGATAGGCTGTTATTTTAAAAACAAAACAACAAAAACACAATTTCAGAGGCTGAGCACAAGTGTTTAGTTATTACCTCTCTGTTCCACTTGGATGCTTGTAGTCAGTCAGATGCCTTAGAATTTCTGCCAAGAGGTTATTTGGAAACCCAGGCTTCTTCCAGATGGTGGCTTCATGATCCCTTGGGACCTTGTCATGCTCCTCTCCATTGGATCCTCTGTATCTGGCCAACAGATGAAGGGCAAGAATGGGGGATCATGCATGGGAGGGTTTTATGGCCAAGCCTTCCACCCACATTCCACTGGCCAGAATTTATCGACTTGCTTATATGTAACTTCAAAGGAGGCCGGGAAACATGGTTTATTGGTATGCCCAGAGGGGAGAGAGAAATGATTTGTTAAGAACAACTACTGGCCCGCCTTTGCTACATTTTCCAAAGAATACTGACTACAAGAAACAGAAAATATATTTGAGAGAATTGAGCATTATGGTCACAGTACACAGAACTAATCTGACTTACTTTTAGTAAGGTGGGTATTAGTTATTTCTACTAGTGAAGTTATTCTTGGAATGAGTATCTATGAACATGAATAGTAAGAAAAAAAAAATCTGATCGAAGTGCCTGGGCGGCTCAGTGGGTTAAGTGGCCAACTCTTGATTTCAACTTGGCATGAACTCAGGGTCCTGGGATCCAGCCCTGCATTGGGCTCCACGCTAAGTGGGGAGTCTGCTTCAGATTCTAGACTGTTGGCCTCCGTCTCTCCACTTTTCAGATTCTTCTTTTGTTTGTTTCACATAAGATACCCAAGGATTTTATCTATTTATTTATTTATTCATTTAAAGATTTTTATTTATTTGACACAGAGAGAGCACAGCAGGGCAAACAGGAGAGGGAGAAGCAGCCTCCCTGCTGAGCAGGGAACCCTATATGGGGCTTGATCTGAGGACCCCGGGTTCATGACCTGAACTGAAGGCAGATGCTTAACCGACTGAGCCACCCAGGCGCCACGGATTTTATTTTACTTTATTTTTTATTTTTTTAAAGACTTTATTTATTTGACAGAGATCACAAGCAGGCAGAGAGAGAGGCAAGTAGACTCCCTGCTGAGCAGAGAGCCCGATGCAGGTCTCAATCCCAGGACCATAAGTTCATGACCTGAGCCGAAGGCAGCGGCTTAACCCACTGAGCCATCTAGGCGCCCTATTTTTTTTTTTTTTTAAAGATTTTATTTATTAGAGTGCGTGAGTGGTTTAGCTGTTAAGCGTCTACCTTCAGCTCAGGTCATGATCCCGGAGTCCTGGAATCAAGCCCTGCGTCGTGATTGCTGCTTAAGGGGAAGCCTACTTCTCCCTCTCCTATTTCCCCTGTTTGTGTTCCCTCTCTCGCAGTCTCTCTCTCTCCCAAATAAATAACATCTTTTTAAAAATTTATTTATTTGAGAGCGAGGAGAGAGAACATGAGCAGGGTGAGGGGCAGGGGGAGAGGAAGAGTCAGACTCCCCACTGAGCAGGGAGTCCAATGCAGGGCTCGATCCCAGGACCCTGGGATCATGATCTGAGCTGAAGGCAGACACTTAACTGACTGAGCCACCCAGGCAAACCAAAAATGTCCCAGGATATTAGCTGTTCTCAGTGGGAAGAATAGGGAAGGGTATATCTACCCCATCTTTTAGAAGTGGAATTTTCCTTATCCATTTAAAACAATATTTTTTAAGATTTTATTTATTTGACAGAGAGTGAGAGAGTGCAAGTAGGGGGAACGGGAGAAGGAGAAGCAGGCTCCCTGCTCAGGATTTGGGGCTCAATCCCAGAACCCTAGGATCATGACCTGAGCTGAAGGCAGGTGCTTAACCCACTGAGCAACCCAGGTGCCCCTAAAACAATTTTTATTGAGGTGTTATCATCCATGCAGTAAAATGTACTCTATGCCTTACATTTTCCTACTCTTAATGGTGTCTTTTTGTGAAGAGAGGTTTTAATTTTAATGAAGTCTAATTTATCCATCTTTTCTTTTATGGTTAATGCTGTTTTAGATCCTGTTCCAGACAGTTTGCCTGCCTCAAATTATGAAAATTTTCTATTCCTTTTTTTCCCTAAAGCTTCTTTTACTTTTCATATTTAGATTTATGATCCATTTTGAATTAATTTTTGTTTGATAGGAGGTAGGGGTCAGTGTTCTTTATTTTCCCCCACTAGCTTGTTTTTTTTAAATTTTTAAAAATTTATTTAATTGAGAGAGAGAAAACACGAGTGGAGGGGCAGACTCTCCACCAAATAGGGAGCCTGATGTGGGTCTTGATCCGAGTACCCTGGGATCATGACCTGAGCCAAAGGTAGATGCTTAACTAACTGAGCCACCCAGGTGCACTTCCCCCAATAGCTTTGTTGAAAACACCGTCTTTCCCCACTGACTGCAGTGATGGCTTTGGTGTAAATCAAGTGACTACCTTTGTGTCCGTCTGTTTCCAAATTCTGTTATGGTCTGTTTTTCTATTTTGTCTTTTCTTGTGTCAACATCAACCTGTCTCAATTACTATAGTTTTATAGTAGGTTTTGATTTCTCATGGTGTTGTCTTTTAACTTCGATCTTTTTCTTTAAGATTATGATAGCTAT